ATGTGTTGTCCTGAATCTAGGATTTACTTTTTTAGTGGATTTATCTGTGTGAATGGAAAGACATATTCTAAGAGGAGAAAGAAGTGATAACCATGCAGACAACTGAGCTGAATCCAAAAAACCCGTAGCTAATTTACATGAGAAGGATAATAAGCTCCATGCATTGTTATATGAAGAGATGGCAGACACCCGTACATTTATTGAGTGCATTCCTGATTCTCAAAACTTCATGAAGTTTTATTATCCCATTGTTTGTCCCTGAAAAGCTATAGATAAGCCTTTCTGTGCCCCAGAAAATTCTTTTGAGGCTTAAATTAAGCTCGAACATTTTAAAAACACAATTTTGTTCTTACTTGAAAAATGCCCGTCCTTGGAGTTCACAACTTGGGAAAGAAGCAGCAACATGTATTCCTGCACAGGCACCAGCACAGATGTCCTATGCAGAAAACTAATTGGAGACGTTCCTGCAGTCTTTCAATTTTTACTTTTGCAGGGGCTTGGAATAAGGATACTGCCCCTTAGTTCTAAGGGGGAGAAMAAACAAACAAACAAACAAAGCTGCTTGAACTTCTCTTGATTTCGCTCTACTCTCAAACCATCTGCTTCTTTGGGTAATAGTCTTTTGCTGTTCATTAACCCACTTAATCCTCTAGCATAAACTKAAGTAATTTATGCTGGATGTTTGGGTTTCACATGGTACTAATGATATCTAATGAACTGTGATACAGAAACATCTGCTCAATGCAATGGTGCTTTTTTTTTTTTTTTTTCTTTTTTTTTTTGTAATCCTGGAAATTAAGTGTATAAAAAATTAGTTAGGAGCTCTTTAGGTTGCAGAGGTTGTAACTCAGAACTTCAGTACGGAAAAAGGCCAGATTTACTGTTACCCATGCAAAGTTAATATAGCTCCTATTTGTATATGCATTATTTTATGTTGATAAGTGTCATGAATTGACATTTTTCACAGAAAAGAGTACTTATCTAATAAAAAGGAGCTGAAGTAAGGTTGTACAGAACACCTGTAAGTCTGAGATATCCTAATTTGAGTATATGAGTAGAAGCTAGATAACATCTCTTTAATTTAATTTTGTATATAACTTTATATGGGGGAAAAATTACAAAAAGAAAAAAAAGGAGAAGAATTTAAGAATTAATTTTACAAGAAGCTGAAAAAGTTGAAACTACAATAATGAAGTTTTTGCTTCACAATAATAAGAGTGATAAGTGGGATTTGCTGAAAAACAAACAATAATGTTTGTTTAGCAAGGAAAGCAGGAAAAGTACTATTTATTTATAATGTTTCTAAGTTAATAATACTGTAGAAATCTTAACTCTTTTTAATTTTTGACTGCTTAATTTCTTAGCCTTAATATTGCATTAATGTTGTTTCCCAGTTTAATTTCCTAATAGTTACTTGGTTTAACCATTCAGAAGCAAAATGAGAGAAACACATTGTAAAACACACTATAGTGATATCATAGTTCTACTAAAATGCCTTATATTTTCCATCAAGCTGCTGATTGCCTTTAGAGTCACCTCAGCAGTGTTAAATCATTTCAACAGTTTACTCTTAACTGTAGTGTCATTAAAGTTTTCTAAGTTTAGGAAATGTGTTGGAAAGACTGGAATAAAAAACTCATGTTCCTGTATGAAAATGTCACCTTATAACATGCATAGCCTTAAAAATAAAAAACAGATTTACTTCAAGCATGAACTCTTTATCCTTCCCCTGTGAGACTGTAAAGAAGCTCTATAAAACCATGTGATCATACAGTTACAGACTGGGCTGACTCAGCAGAGTGTTTAACTGCATTTAAATTCTATTGAAATCAATAGAATTTAACATGTGCTTAAATACTATGTTGAAAAGGAATGGATTTACACAAGTGCTTTAAAGTTAATCATGTAGCTTTTTTGAAGTAGGCCCATTATACATTGGAGAGAGTGGGAAGAATTCAGACTGTGAAAGCCCTACCTTTGGGGTGACTGACTTAATAAGTAAAATATTTTAATACAGTTTTTATATATAATTTAAAAAATAGCAAACAATGCAGTAGTCATTATAGTCTGTGAATTAGCTAACATAGCATATATTACATGCCTGTAATTTTAAAATACGTACGCCAAAATATAGAACGCTTAAAGCTGAATGTCTGAATGTACTTTCTCGAAAATAGTTTGCTTTTTTTTTCAGTTACTGAGCTATCTGAAGTCAGATCTGTGAATGTTCACTATCTTAAATAAGGTACAGCTACATTTATAAGAACATAAAAACACATATGGATATCTAATACCAAGATCCCACACTTCAAAATTTTATGTGTTATGGCATCTTTTTACTTATTCCTGCAATGTTTCCCTGTAATATGAGACTGATTATTTTGAGATACTGAATCACTAAACAGAGTCACATTCTGGTTGTCTCAAAGGCATAAGAAATTCCACTTTTTTTTTTTTTTTTTTTGGAAAAATACTTTGGTCCATGTTAGAGAAGCTTTCTGTCTCTACTGATGATCCTCCTATCCTCCTTGTACTTTTGTGACACATCTGTGCTGGTACTATACATTTTATACATTTTACACATAAGATAGGATATATTATATTTATTTTCAAGAGGTAGAAGAACCTTTAATTTCTGATTCTTTTCAGTGTTAGTTATTCTCTTCCTAACATGGGTACAGACTGAAGTGCTTCGACATTGGGTCCCAGTGGTCTAAGCAGGTCTCCYAGAGGTAGTGCCAGGATCCCTGTGAATGAGATAGAGAAAGTAACCTTTGAGGGACTGTATTACACTGGGCCATGATCAAATCCTCTTGATTACTGCTTATGAACCTGAGCTAACTCAATGGCACGTGTCATAAGGATGAGTATTACTTCAGATGATCACGATACCAATTTTGTCAGCTGTCATGCCACCCCACTGCCATGATAGGTGTGCTGCTAGTCCTGAGCTGTACCACGTTACACCTTGCTGTGCTGCCCCTGCCTTCAGCTTTGGCCCACCTGGAGTTGGGTTTATCCTGTCTGCAGGCCCTTAATTCTTCCATGGGAAAGGTATCTCCTTCCCCTGAACTTTTGATATGGCAGGACTCTTCTTCCTTACAAAGCAGGGGAAGAAATCAGAGATAACATGTATACATGGTAAATCGGTGAGGGTAGCAGGGGAAGAAAAGGCCAGGTGGCGTCAATATGAACATTCTGTTGGGATTCCTGTTGGGACCTCTGTTGGGATTCCTGTTGGGGAATTCTCATTGCCAGCTGCAGTCTCTGTCTATCTGAAGGGACCGACCAAAACTCTCAGCAGAGTTAGAGGATGTGGCATGTGGAGGAGGAAGAAACTGTTACGAGGAAGGGAGGAGGTTTGAGCCACAGACCTCCAAAATGCCATAGATTGTCCAGAGCACATGGGAATATGACAGAACTTTGGTATTGTGAATCTCTTCTTGGATATCRAAGTGGGAGAAATTAAAAAGCAATACCCTTCGCTACAAGCTGTCACATTAGAAAAGCAGACAGTTCGCTTTTTGGCCAAAAGGCAGAAGAGAGCCTGGAAAGTGCCTGGCCAGCACGCACTGCTCTCATGGCTGGGAAGTGAGGGGCTTTGGTCACTTGTGCAGCAAGATCAGCGGAATGAAATACCATTTCTGACAGTGAAATGAATCTTGCCTTATCTAGGTGTAGGTCTATTAATCAGCAAATAGAACAGGCAACTTTGAAAGAGCGTTATGAAAAATTAACTTGATGTAGCCTGCATGAAGCCTCGCCAAGCCCCCGGGGAGCATGGTGCCTTAGCGTGGCACGCAGGCAAAGGCTGCGATCCTCAGCGCGCATCKCCTCGTAAAGCTGAGGGAGGCGCAGTGCCCACTGCCCGGGGCTTCTAAATATAAACACAAGCCGCTCGGCCCCATCCACATTTTAATAAGTCCACAGAGCAGTGCATGGTATGTGAGCAGGTCTCATTTGCTGGGCCACAACTCGTAACCTACTGCAAGAATTGCACGAAGTTGCTAAAAATGGAAGTGTGGCTCAGAGYGAGCGCGAAACTGGCTCCCGCCTCGCCGTGTCCCTGCACCTCCAGCTGCCCCTGGTCCCCGTGGCTTCAGAGGGCTCCTCGTCCGAGCCAGCTGCGGGTCCTGCCGAGAAGGAGYGGCCAGACCTGCCTGCTTGAGCCAACTGCAGCGTAGCCAGAGAAACGGGGCAACGAAAATAGCACGCCAGGATCTCTGTGCGTGGGCGAGGCAGAAACCACACGATGAGCAAGAGCTCCCAGTATTATTTTAGAACCGACACGGAGGCCTGCGCCTTTTGCTCGTTTTTCACAAAAAAATCCTCCCCTGGGGGGAGGGCAGGGCAGGGCTGGGGGGGCCAGGAAGAGCTGACCACCGGTGGCCGTGAGCGTGGCCGTGGGTCCACTGGCCTCTGTGGGGGGGGGTCTCGGTGTCTGGGCCGGGCGCTGTGCCCTGCTCGCCATGCGCGGGCCGGTGGCGCGGGCAAGGGTTAAGGGTGCTGTGGGGGGATGGCGYGCCTCCGAGACACACACCGGACAGCTGTGTTTGCCGGGGTATTTTTAAGTGCATTAACGCAGGCTCCAATCGCCCGGCCGTGCTTGACCTATTTTTGGCTCAGGCCGGCCATTGTTCTATTTCTGCCGCCGCTGGGCCGCGCGCGGCTGGGGCTTCACATGCAAATGCGGAGCCGGGCGCCGCGGGCCCCAGCGAGCGAGCGAGCGCCGCGGGACGCAGCGCGACGCGGCCGGCCGCCCGTGCCAGCCCGGCCTCCGCGGCCCTGCGCGCCCTGCTCAGCCCCCTTTGGGGCTTTAAGAGGCTCTGCCCACCCCCCCCAGCCTCCCTCGCTCCCCCCTCTTCACCCCGAGAAAGCTTGAAGCACTGAGATATTTCTTCATTTCTTCTTCCACCTGCTGTTGGCTTCCAGCACACAACTGTTCCAACTCAGGGGTGCAGCGTCCACCGGGTCCTTCCCAGGCTGGGGCTGGGCAAAGTGGCTTTTTTTTCCTTTTTTTTTTTTCTCCTTCCCCAATAGCTCTTTAAAGGTTGCTAATCACTGAAGTGTTTTCCCTTGCAACCCTCACTGGAGGAGGTAGGAGCGCGGAGGGTCGCGCCTGCCGCCCCAGCGCGAGCGCCGTGATGAATCTCTCGTGTAGCTGAAGTACAGCCCGGGCGGAATATGCTGCAGACCATTTACGAGAGCGAATCGTGTTTTTCCTCAGATGGGGTTTCTGGACGGGAGCAGCTCTTGGCTCAGCAAAGCATGCACAGCATGATCAGCTCAGGTAAGCGCGCGGCACCGCACACCCCTCTGCCTCCGCGGCGGCGGCTCTCTCAGACAACACAACCTGCCACAACTGAAAAAAAAAAAAAAAAAAGACCCAACAACAACCCAACCCCCAAGCCCCTCCTTTAAAGAACGGAGTTTATTTTTGTGGGCTTTTTTATAAGTTGTTAAGTAATTCTGTCTACGATGTTATTTCAGATATCAGCTGCTGTTTTTGGTTGGGGGGGGGTCTGCTTTTTGCAGTCTGCTGCTTTCTAGCAAGAGGGAAAAGCTCTCAGTGGCAATGCAGTTTGCAATTCCCCTCTTGTTTTATTTGTTTTGTTCCGGGATTGCAAAATGGGGCTTGTGGTACAGGCTTGTGCACGCAGAGTGGCTTCATCAGAGCAGAGCTCTTCAGGAGGCTGCAGTTGGAGCCCATCACAGGCATCTTCGCATGTCATTTTGTAAACAGGATTTGGGCTTTTTCTGAGTTTCCTTTTCTCCAGTTTATGTGCAAAGGGTTTTTTTTTTTTTTTTTTTTTTTTTTTACGTGTTTATATTAATCCTTTCCCGTTTTCCTAATGGTATTGGTTTAAAAAATGTTAAAGTCTGTCTTTAATATGCATGTCTTATTTCCTTACTTTAAAAATATTTGGGAACTTGGCGAAGGTACTCAGATGTAATGACTCATTGAAATGTAAATTGGGTATATTTTTAATGAAAGTATTTCCAAGCTGTTCCGATAAAGCATTGGGCATTTGTACTTGAAGCTGTCTTATATTTTCTAGTTTCTTTGTTAGCTGTGTTTGAGATCAGCATAGGAGGCACTGAGCATGAATAAAGCCTGAACTTCAGTCAATTCAATCAGAATGTCAGTTTAGATGGACAAAAAAAAAAAAAAAAATCTAAATTTGAGATTATGTTTGCCCTTTCTCTCTTAAACTCTGGGGGAACTACAGCTCTGGGTTTTTTTGGTCTCAACGTCTTATCCTTTGAGGCACAACTTTAGCTGCTTTATATGTTTTTTAATCCTAGGGCTCTGACTTTGTTTCTTCTATAGCTGGCTTTAGAGAGGACCTGTACATAGACTACAGTGTCAATAGTGTGCTCTAATCTTCGTTTGCCCCCTTTCCTCCCCTTTTTCTCCTCGAAGTTGGCATTGCTCCCACTTGTTGAGCATGGTTACGTTTGTAGACCGCAGGGCTCATAGAGTATCACCTCTTCTGGTACACCTGTTGAGCCCATGTTTGCTTGCTTGSTTGGTCTGTTTATTTAACTGCTGTAAAGAGCTTACGTTGTGCTTATGTTTGTTTTTTTCTTTCTTGATGACATACACCTGTAGAGCAGAACTGCGGTTTCAGGTGTTAAAATAAATTGTTGTGTCAAATAGCAGTACCTTCCCTGTCAGGAAAGACTTAGATGTGTCTTAACCTTGTGRTTAGTGTTTTCCGGTGTAGAAAGCTACCATTAGCCGAGGCTAATGATTATAGACTGAAGGAAGGAGAGACTGAAAAACTATTACATGCAGCATTGAATAATAAGAATTCCTAAGAGAAAGACTTCCAATTGATAATGTTTAGGAGTGGCAGTTCTCCTCCTCTACTAACAAGGTCCTGGGTTGGTTTGTTTCTTTTTCATTTGGGGTTTTGAGTTTTCTGGGGGGCCCTTCCCCCAAAACTTAGCACTTCCTCTTTTTAGAATAGATTTTGATCACCGAACACATGTTTACAAATGTGAACAACTTAGCTGTAGCTAAGGTAATTGATAAAAGCAGATTTTCTAAAATTTTCTCTATGGTTTTGCAAAACCATCCACAGTGTTGACCTGTTGTTCAAGAGTTACTGCTTTTCTTTGTTTTTCCTAAATAGGTCAGCAGGTGTCCAGTGCATTTTTATTGGTCAGAGAGATATCAGTGACTGCTTTTCCTTCATCTTTTTTTTTTTTTTTTTTTTTAGTAATACATCAAACTACATTTAGCTGTGTGTAAGTGACAATCAGTTTTAGCTCCTGGTTCCCACCAGCTAATCTTACAGTAATTTTCTCAGTTGAAGCACAAGAAATATTGGGAATTTTTGTAAGCTTTTGTAAGCTAATATATCACTGTTTTCCTTCTTTGGAGACAAAGATGTCATAACATTTCGTACTACGTTAGACTCATATAGCATTCTGTAGTACAAAGTAGAATAGAGTTGTGGGGGGGGTTGTTTGTTTGTTTGTTTCTTAAAAATAAAAAATAAAAAATGAGTCAAGATCATTGCCAGGTAAGGGCAATTTAAATGTATATGCACTCTGGAATGCAAAATACCCTTCAGGGTTTCTGTTGGCCTTTGAAACACACAACCAGAAGCAAGTCATTGATGCTGTACTTAGTCTGCAGTATAGTTCACAGCACACAAAAGCACAAGTCTGGTCCTGCTGTCAGGTACCTTCAGCTCTGTTGAGTTCTTGCAGGTCTTGCAGGATCAGGCCTGGTTATTTTGTATGTTTTGTGTCCATCTGTGCTGCGTATTCGGGGAAAAGGAATTTCCCAGGGTATGATGACGCACTGCAGTGTTAGGAGTAGCCTATCTTCATTTACTGACATGTAACTTTTGCCCAGTTTAAGAAGTTGCACATATTTAAGAAGAGAACAGGTCCCTGGACACTTACAACTTGCAGCCTTGATATTGCTGGAGTCCTGAAATAATCACCACGGTTTAAGTTCTCACTTAATGGTTATTTAAGTTTGCCTGTTTCTGCTGCCACAGGGCCACGAGCTGCTGGTGCTTCCCATGCAAATGCGGACCTGGAGGCCCTGAAGAAGGCAGGATCAGTGGCCCCTGCAAATGTACTTGCAAAACAAACTGTCTGAGGAATTTCTGACAATAGCAGGCGCAGGATATATTCCTGTCACGTGAAGCTCTTCTTCTGCAGTTCCCTCAATTACTGCTTTGCCTGTCTGTCTCCATTGCTGCTTGTAAATCACAGTATGAATGAGATGATCTGGATAGCTACCAATCAGAAGTCTAATTATGAATGGAGCAATCCAGATCGGCACCGACTCAAGAAGCTGTGTAATTTACACACACCTACACCTTGCTGCACAGAGCAGCCTCAGCTATCTTGAGGAGGCTGAACTAGATTCTCCCATATGGTACTACTGCTCTAAAATGCAGCAGCAAGTACTATGCGTCTTTATTTTAGAAAATGATGCCGATACATTCTTGTTTGATATCATACTTGTTTTATTTTCAAGATTAAAAAAAAAAAGCCTCTTATTTGGAGGATGGTACTAGATAGTTGTGCTGTTGCTTTAATTTTACCCAAAGCTTTCAGTTGTGCCTGTACTTTACCCAAGCATAAATAACAAACTATAACCTCTTTAATAAAAGTACTTGCTACAGCATAGTCCATGGCAAGAGCAGGTGTCAAAATGTAGCAAATAACTGATGCAGGGCTAAACTCCTCAAAGAGATTTCAGTTGTATGAAGGGGAGGAAACAACCTACCCAGCCTTGGAGGCTGCAGATGTGTGACTTCAAGAAGGAAAGCCAAGATTATTAACTTCGGGTGATTAAATACACTGTGCTGTTTTGCCAAAGGGTGAGATTGCTGTGTTTGCTTCATTCCCCACATTTTGATATATACCCTCCAACTGGCCTTCCAGAATTCCACCTCTTCCAACTTTTCCAACTTCTTTTAAATTCCAGCTTTTACTGGATAAGGCATCTTCTACTTCTGGCCCAAAGCTGTTATTGAAAAATCAGGAGTTTAAGGAGATCTTGCCTTTAAAGCCTTAGTTTGTCACTGATTTGACAGGGGACCTGAGCGAGTTATGTAATCCTACGTATGTCACTTTGCCCCTCTGTAAAATAAAGAAAATAACACTGGTCAGGCTCATAAATCTCTAGGGCAAAAGTCATCTAAAGGGAATATAGTGATTCAGAATGATTAATTTGATTGATTCAGCCTACCTACAGGCTGCAAAATTTGTGCAGTTTCACAAATGCTGCAAGTGAAGGCAGTCACAGTATTCTCTGCATTGATCAAGAAATTCAAGCTATGGCACTTGGATGTAAGTGGCAGAATCTACATGCAGGTTGCTGTACATGGGGCTGCAGGCCCTGTTAGCCATCTTCCTTCAGTAAATACTAAGCTGGTAAAATTTATTTTGTATCTTATATCTACTTTGTGTCTGGATGACCATGTGTACACGTTTGTGTACATATATTTATGTTGCCTTCAGGGCAAGTTCTTGCACCCGTAACTTCGATGTTTTTTCTTTTCCCACTCCCCTTTTTCTTGTCCTGGCCATACAAAACTTTCACCTATTCAACTGTTTCTGTGGAGAGACTGCAGAAAGCAAAATTTGGGTCTCTGATATTCATAAAAAACTTGAATTATTTACTTATTGGAATTAGATAACGCACAACTTCATACAGACAGAAAAAAATATCTGTATGTTACCTCTAGCAATACCTCTATTATACATCTTGGTTTGCTGTACTCAGAGGCATGTGGTTTCAACCAGAGGCTTTCTTCATGTAGACCTGCGTGCAGAGTCCATTTAGTCCATGAAGATTTGTGTGGGATACGAGGAATGCCTGTTCCTATTGCCAGGACTTTAATCAGGCTTCTATTTCTACATCGAGTTCACGGCCCCTGGCTTTTGTGCAGCCTTCACAGAGATAACAAAAGCTGTGAGAAAGCAGAACATTCAGCTAGAGAGCCTGCAAACACTTGTGTCTCCTCATGTGTATATGTACATATAAATGCCATATATATATGAATTTCAGGTTTTGGTGGTAGATGATGGGGAAGGTTTCAGGTGTCATTGCAATTTTTTACAGCAACTATTATTTTATTTTTATACAGCAGATTTGATGCAAAACATTCATGGGGGAGAGTAACTGACAGATACTATTGTGAAAAACATGAACATCTAAAATCCCCTGCTCCGTGGATCTCTTTAACAGGCTGAGTCCTCTGGGTCAGTTATTCTTAGCCTAGTTATTTTCATCTTATGGCATTACAGGTCTAA